TATGCACTATCATACACAGACACATCATAATGTATGTATTAGTACACACACACACGTCACATATAGACACACGTCACCATCATGCACACACAAACACATGACACACAGAGACACACTAACAAACACACTTAATTATTAACAATCTGTTTTATGTACATTAATATAAATTATTTAGTTTGAAATACTCATCAACTATTGTGTATCAATGATGAGAATTACTGACCTGATGAAATCCTGTAATAATGTATCTCATTACATCTACCATCAGCTGAATACTGAGCATCAGGTTGCATTGGACCAGTATTTATAGAAGAGTATCCCCTGGTTCCTCCAATTATTACAAGATAGTTGTCACCGTCAAAATTAGCTGATACTATTCCACAGTAGGTCTTCATCATTGGATCACGATCAGAACTAGAAGGAGAGAGTTCCCTCCACTTCAATGAATCCACATTGAAACAATGTAAGCTGTTTTGATAACTACTACCAGATCCACCAAAATAATATATGTCCTTTCCTATTGCTACGGTTGAATAGCCACAGGAACCTTGTGGTGGGGTACCAGTAGTAGGTTTCTGGTCCCAAGCACCAGTTGGTAAGTGATACACCTCCATCACATCATAGTCTACTCCAGACCCGTACCCACCCCACATATATAGGTAGTCTCCTACCTTTACTGTGGAGTGACTATCTCTCTTCACTGGTTGATAGTCTATAGAGAACAAGAGGTACCAGTAACAGAGTAACAGTAATATAGTGATGAGTTTAGAATAAGGACAGGATACAGAGGAGTAAAGTAAGTGAGAGAGTAAGAGAGACAAAGAATGGATCAAAGAGATACAAAGAGAAGAGAATAGTGGCCCTCACTTTTAGATGCCATTCTTGCAAAATACCAGCCCCACCCAAACTATGCAACATAAGACCACACCCATTTATCCAAAATTCATAAAATGAGTTCCAGTGGTGGTGCCAGTAGAAAATCTCCTGCTGGTTCTACTAGACTCAAACCAAAACCCAACTTCTTTAATTGTCCTAGTCAAAATGATGGGGTAGGTAAGGAGGGGACTGTACCAGAATCCTTATTGAAAGAAGCTCGTAAAACCGGTTCACTGAACCCTGTCAAACAGGTTGGAGGCTGTGTGAGACTTGTAACATGTTTTTTTAATTCACCAAAAATGATATATATAAATGATTTTTTCAATTTTAATTTTTATGACGCATTAATGAACATGTGGATGTATGAAAGTTAGTGGGTGAATGTGTATAATTACAGGGGCATTAGTGTTATTCCTCCTAAACTGTGGAGACTCAATATTGATCCTCCTGATGGTAGTACTGCTTCATTTGATGTTGATGAGAGATGGTGGGACCAGGTGGAACTGACTAGACTGGATCTATCATCTAACGAAATCAAAGAAATATCTGAAGA